AGGGAGGAGAGTCGTTGCCTACAGCAGGGTCCGCAGGGGGCGAAGGGGCCTTCCGAATCGTGCCGTCGGCGTTCCTTGGCAGCTTGCGCTTACCCTTTGGGCGACCCATGTGCCCAGAGCGCGTGTGCGTCTTTCGTTGCGTGCTCTGGTGTGTGTGTGGCGGGAAAAAATTCCCCGAGGGCGTGTGAAACCACCCGAAATATCTCCGAAACCCGAGTTTTTTTTGAAATCGGTAAAAAATCATCGTGGGAAATCACGAGAGGAATCGATTGCAGCACTTTATTTTTGAATCGTACGGTTGGATTGTCCCCAAGAAACTAAACAAAATACCCTCCAATATCCGGTTTTTTGCCCATAACTCCGTTGTTTTTTGTCAAATTGGAAATCGGAAAAAAATCATCGGTGGCAAATCACGACAGCTGTCCAAATCCGGTCTCAGATTTTGTGTCTGCAAAAAACACCGCCCTCCAGAAAGTAAGCAAGATTTCTTGAATATCTGAACATATCGAGCGAAGGACGAAAACAAAAAAAAAATCTCCGTGCGAAGATGCGCCTTGAAACGTCGATTTACGCGGTATTTTCAGATTTCGGAGAAATAAGTACCCCCACCCCGAGAAAAGTGCACCTTTGAGCAGGGGAAAATATTGTGAATATTTGCCCGAACGGACCATACTATCTCCCTGAAATATATCATTTATGACATTGAAGAAATGTCAGCAACGCCATTTCGTTTGAAATAATATAACGTGCCCCCCTGCTCCGAGGATCCGCCCCCCTGCTTTGTGAAGGAGTCGTAGTCAAGTCGAAAAACAATACGAGAGGTGCCGAAAATCAAAACAGTACTTCTGATCCTCTCATCCACACTTGAATCAGATCTGAAAAACCAAACCCAAGCTTCAATCAAACAGAACAAACGCCAAATCTCAAACTAAATCAAACTCAACATGAACCTCCTCAATGCGCCTACTTTTCAAGCCATACACCCCAGCGCATTGGACCACTGCCCCTGCCATTGTTTCTCCCC